TATTTTTTTTTTTTTTTTTTTTTTTTTTTTATTAAAATGATAACAATAATAAATTAATCGAACAATGAAAGGGTCAGTCTATTGTTAAAATATCGTTCGATCCAAGGCATTCTCTGTACAACTGCCAGTCACTAATGATTCCCACGATACTGACGAAAGTGTCGGTCATCCGTGACCCCGCAACAGCATTGAACTCGTTAAAACGACGTAACGACGATGAATCGTTGAATCGTCGTGCATCCTTAGTCATATAATTTCGCATTCGCGACGAAAAGAAAATTGAAGTGTGTGTTTTCTCTGTCTAGTTATCTGTGACTTGCATTTTCATCAGTCTGACTGTATATAACGTTATATGTACTCGAACCCTCTTCATCCCGCTATCGATACGTATATCCATCTCTTTCGAGTATTCCACATTATGTACGCACGCGATATATATATGTATAACCGTAATTCTTTCCCGTAATTCTGATCTGAAAGAGATACCGCGCGAACTTACCAAATTCGCGAGTATAATTCGCGGGTCGTCGAGAAGATTCATGGCAGCGTCCCGGGGAGTAATGTCCTCGCGGGATTCTCCGATGTTGTATTTATGCGGAGAACGCGTTATCCCTTCCCTTGACGATACGCGTATACACATGTACGTACTCTCGATCGGAGAGAGGAGACCGCGCGTCCACTCTCGCTTTTAATAAAGCCAAACCGGAATCGTAAAGCTGAATCTAAATTGCATAATTATACCGGTCTACGTCTCTCCCTTACTCCAACGTACACAGCACTTACATCCCTCCTATCATTTCTCCCTCCTTTTTCTCTTTTCTTTTTTTCTATCTTTCTCCATCTTCTCTTTATTCAATGATCTTTTTTCCAAGCACTTGAATCGCTTCTATTCTCTTCGCCTCTTTTCCGCGAATAAAAATTGAGAGAATAATGATATTACGAATCAATCAGCACGAATGTCAGTTGTCTTTTAAAAAGATCTCAAGTATTGCCGTAGTCAATAAAAAAAAAAAAATAAACTAAAAAAATAGTCTTCTTCTATGAGAGTATTTAAAATTTCAAGATAGAATTACAATTACGATTATCGCGTTGGAAGGAAGATGTTAAATAAAAATAACATTCAATGTATACGTCGTTGATAGTTTTCATTTTAAACATTTGATTAAAGACTCTTCCTATACAAAATAAATAACAACCCTCTTCTGAAGAAAGCTCAATCTGGTAGCCGAAACTTGTAATTTATTTGTATTTAAACTGAGTTTTTATTTTATTATATATATTTTTTCAATTTTACTTTTCTTATTTGTAATTTATTCTCTAATTGACTTTTTTAAAGAAATGTATTTGACTCTTACTTTGCCCTTTATTTATTGTTATTTATTTCATCTTAAAGATTAATAGAGATAATCTAATTTGCATAAATTAGAAATGGATCAAATATTATATGAGCAACAGCATTCGGCAAACGTATTTGTCCAAGAAAATGTACAAAATATGTCAACAACTACAATTTTAACTGAAAGACAGTTTTAAATAATCGGTATATAATTCGGCGCACTGTCCAGTTAGTTTCGTAACTGTATGTATATACCCAAAATTATTATACGTTATTTGTGATATATATAGTATTGAACAATTAAATTCTCAAGAGGATAAATAATCTCTTT